TTATGAAAACAGAGACATAGATTAGTATTGTCTTTTTTTTAATTGAACGAACTTCTGCTACGAAACAATAAGATAACATTAATCATTTTATCCCAACTTAATAGAGGGAATAAATTTTATTTACTTATCAAATTAAGCTGATGCCAGCTTTTACAATTATCATTTTACATTACACTGTTAAAAAGTATATACAAAATTATTAATTTCGTTTTTTTTTTAAAAGTCAAGCGTGAGCCCTACATTTAAATAAGTATTGGTAAAAATTATATTTACGTAAGTAATTAGTAGCTATATTTCCTTTAGCAAAAAAAATATGAATCCTGTTTTAAAAAAATTATCAGTTCCCTCTATTGAAATGTTTCATGTAACCCCCCACTAGAAATTATCTTTTCAAACAAAATTATTAGTTACGCTTTTTTTTAACATTTTCAGGTTGCCCTAGATTTAAAATTACTTTTAACATTAGTCTTTCTATAAAATATTAACAAAAACAATTTCTTCAATTGATACATTACTTTTCACTAAAAATTATCTTTACATACAAAATTATTAGTAACGCGTTCTTTTAGCATATTTATGCTAACTTCTATTGAAAATTATCTTTACCAATATTATTTTCACTCTATCCTCTACTGAAAAAAGTCTACCAAAAATATTAGTTACGCTTTTTTTTCTTCTTTTAATTAAAAAAAAATCCAATATCCAATGAACAAAACCAATTTCGGTAATTAACATTTACGGTACCCTCTATTAAAAATTTTATTTATGTACAAAAATATTAGTTACGCTTTTCTTAACATTTTAAAGTTACCCTCTGCTTAAAATTTTCTTTACCAGAAATATTAGCTACGCTTTTTTTTTCTTTTCTTAATAAAAAAAAAAACCAATAGAAGTTCTTTAAAAAATGAACAAAAACAATTTCTTTAATTAACATTTACGGTACCTTCCATTAAAAATTATATTTACGCACAAAATTATTAGTTACGCATCTCTTAACATTTTAAAGTCCCCCTCTGCTGTAAGTTACCTTTACCAAAATTATTAGTTGTACTTTCTTTAATAATAATAATAAAAAAATCCAACTGGAGTCCTTCTTTAATAGGTGAATGAAAACAGTTGTAAACACAATGATTACAAAGGGGACTTGATTTAGATAGGCCATTTCTACATATTTATGGGACTTGGGAATAAAAGGTCTATCATAAAGAAGTTGTAATGGTTTACCTTTTTGAAAGGGACTGAGGACCAAGCAAGAGATGTGCGGTCACAGAAGAGTTTGAGGACGTTCTATGGTTCTTGGAACGATATCCTTTAAACCAATCTCCGACACGGGAAAGCTCGTATCTCGTACGGAGGCGGCGCGAATCGGGAGGGCGGTACAATCAGCCCCTAGTTGGGCGACGTCTCAAATAATTTTTTTTTTTTTAAAAAAAAACAGCTCGAGCCTGTGGTGGATATATATTATATAACGTTCTCTTTTCTCTCCTAATGTATTTAGATTTAATTTTTATAATGTCTTTTTTTTTATTCGAAAAGAATTTTTTCAGATAGTAATGTATCATGGGAAGTAAGACAGCTCGCCTTTGGAAAAGAATTGGTTTCACTGCTCTTGCAGAAGGGATGGTTCATTCAATTTTTTTTTAAAAAATCTTTCTATTCAGTTTGTTGGAGGAAAATTAAAAACTCCATACACGTGCCAACTTAATCGTTAAATTACAAATATATCATAGTGTGGAGAAGATGTTAGCTGTTTTTTTCTTCTTTTTTTTCAATATTTCATTGACATAATTCTTATGATCAGTTCAGTTAATTAAATTATTGATATTATAGAACGATAATTAAATTAAATCTAAATTATTCTCTTAACGTAATAATGAAATTATATTATTTAATATCTCAATAATTTTCAAATATTCTTTTAACAGTCATATCATTAATTAACAAATTAATTGGATTATGAAGAATATACTTCTTAATTTAACATTTTAAACTTCATAATTAATTAGAATTGTATTAATTTGTTATTATTATTAGACGGCCCTGTGGCCACGCGGTCATCGTGTCTGACAGTGCAGTCAATGGTTGCGGGTTCGAATCCTGCTTAGGGAATGGATGTTTCTCTCTGTGTGTTGCTTTCTATTGTGTGAATGTGGCCCACCCTCTAAACGGGTGTGTGGCGTGGGTAATGTTGCTCGCTTCCGTGACTTAGGTTCACAGGTGCCCACCGGGTAATGTTAAATGATCAACACTTTCAACATCTTCTGGGGTGAAGAACGAATGTTCAGTGCCTCCCGTAGAATTTTTTTTTATTACTATGAAAAGAATTTTCATTTAATTTTCAAACTACCTATTTTAAATATTGTTTTCTATTAACAATCATATCGTTGATTTATTAATTAATTAGATTAAAAATATTAATACTTTTGTATTTCGCATGGAAAACTTTATAATTAATTTCACTTGTGGTAGTTTGTTATTACATTTTTTTCGGATTTTCATACAATTTTGTCACTGTTTTCTTTTGAACAATCAAATCATTGATTAGAAAGATATTTGTATTAAAAATATACATTTTTATTTTGAGCGGAAAATTTTATTATTAATTAATAAACTTAATACTTAGAATTAAAGTTAAACTATTCACTTGACAAGTAATATGATATTTTTTTAAAAAAATTACTATAGCTTAAATATTGTTTTCCTTTACATGACTGCTTTTTTGATCAAAAACTTTAATTGTGGTGCTATGTGGTCATTAAAAAGATGGGAAATAAGTTTTAAGTACAATATGATGTAAAAATCCTGATTCTGTAGAAATTAGAAAGATGCAGAGATTAGAAGAAAAGAAAACAAATTTATTCAAAATAGATTAATGTAATCTCTAATCAGTTACAGCAATTAAGGCACCTAGTTTGAATTAAATCTGATATCTGATATATGTATTTAGAACTATTATCCATCTATTGGCTATATATATTTTAAAATGGAACATTTGATTAACCTTGATAATACTAGATTTCAGTTAAATATTTCAAAAATAAATTTATTGTGTACACCATTTAAGGTGAATCTTATTATATTTTCTAAATAAATATTGAACAAAGTTCAAACTGAATATAGGGCATTTTTGAGAGCTGCCATCTGGGGGGGGGGGGCAGAAACGCTCCAAAAAGCTAATTTTGATCACTTGGCATCCATTACAAACTAATTTCATGTTTCAGTCTATAAATAATTTTAAGTCAAATTTTAGATTCTAATTATAATAATGGTAAGCAGAAACTTTAAACTAGTAATAGTAAACACTAAATAAATCGGAATTCAGATTACATATTGTGATTTCTTTTTTTTGCTAATCAGAAGCTGCTTACAATAAATAATTCTGTTTTTAACCTAGATAATGTTGATTAAGATGACCTTGAAATAATAAAAATAAGGCATCTCTATAACCTGAAATGCTTGATGTCTTGGATTGTTTTTGCCAAACATTTTCTTTCAGTTTCCTTTTTTTTTTTAATCAAAAATCAGAGCAATTTATTTTTTATGAAATAACTTCGATTTAATCTCCTCTGATTTATCTAATTAACGTGACTTCATATTGTATTATAATAAACCTTGAAAACTTTCTCATAAAAATAGCAAATATATTTAATCAAATAGAAATATATGCAAATAGTAAATATATGAAGTAGTATATTCTATCGATATATTATTTTTAAATTAATTTAATATATAAATGCATTTAATTTTTTTTTAAATTCGGTTTATTGAAACATAGTTAATATGAAAATAGTAATAAATTTAAAAACATGTATGATGCTGTAAATTAATATATTTTTTGGGTATTAAACAGGGACACCACCCACAATTCTAAAAATTGATTTTTTCGCTTTAGTACTTTTTTTAAATCTTACAGTACATAAAATAAATAAAAAATATTATTCAGAATTCATTGTTATGAATGAATTTGCCAACTGAAATTGCATTATTTTCCATACAGCACTTAACTATCAATCATGATAAATCATGATTTATACGTTTATTTTAATAAGCCCCGAAACTTTCTCTTAGATTTCATTAAGCTATTAGTCAGAAAAATAATCTGCCGTAATGCAATTTTCTAAAATACTAACACAGAAACAAAAAGGAAGATCACGTTGCAGGAGTTTTAATATTTAAGAGGGAGAGATAAATGTTTCAATTAATTTAATCTAAATAAATGAATATGATTAATTAGGATTTCAATAATTTTTTGCAATGGGTCTGAAATAAAGATTAAAACTAACAAGTTAGGAAATATATTCGTGTAAAACACTAGTACGTATGTGCACGATTGTTTTATTTGTTCAAAAATTTGACAGTCGTTAAGAAACTCATATTTGTAAAAGTTTCAGAAAAACAAATGAGACCTTTTTTACTTCAATTCCGTATTCTGTAACATCTCGAATCGTACTATCTTGTGGATCTATTTTTTTTAAACATACTTTCATGAAAACTCAGAATTGTATAAGAGTACATTTAAATGCGTTTACACATTTGAAACTAATATAAGTATATAAACATTGGCATAATAAGGTTCATATGTGTCATTAAAAAAATATTAAAAAAGCTTGTAGGCATTTCAAGACATAAATCGCACAATTTATCAATCAAGATAAATCATAATCTAACAATCAAACATTTTTTTTACATTTTTTTTTTATCATATAGAGTATTGTTGTATTCTCAAAAATTGAGCTTCATATTAGATACATTGGGCTGATTCAAAACATCATATTAAAATGCAGTTGTTTAGAGTTAGATTACAGAACTTTTGATTGTGCTTGAAATTTATTATTCGAAATAAAATTTGAGATTCATAAAAAGACAAAAATTGCACAAAAATTGAAAGAATTATAATTCTGCAACATGTAACTGTCTTTACATATGTGAGAATAACATGTTGACAATGTGTACACAGATGAAGTAAAATTCATGCAACACAAAAATAGACATGCAAAATGTTCAATTAATATAATTTATTATCTGGCATAAAATACAGAATTATTATAATGATCTTAAAATGTGTTGAAATCATAACCATGTGCAATACCTACATAAGTATTTGTGGAACCAAGCCAAAACTTCATATCTAGAAGAAGAAAATAAAATCTTATTTAATTGCATAGATTACAAAATCATCAAAAATCATTAAAAATTTCTAACTACTAATCAATGGTAAATTATATACAGATCGGGGGTTCGCAAATTAATATTTTTGAGAGGGGAAAATGTCATCGAAACCAGTCGAACCACTAGTGATGAGGGAATGAAAACGTCAAAACCAGTTTTATTGCCTGAGGAAATTTGAAGGATCTTCCAATAATAGGCTTTCAACTTATCTTTGCTTCCCTCAGACATCCAATAGGTTTTAAGTGCTCTCATTTCGCCTTACTCAATAGTGACTCGTTAGGTTTTGCGTGATTTTTGCACTTTAATCTCTCCAATATTTATTTTTATTTTCATTTCAATAATATTAACACTTTTTTTTATTTAATTTTTGAAAAGGATTCTATGAATACGCATGATAGGCAGTCATTAGCACCTGATAAGTAAATTTTTATTTACTTAAATCATTTTACTGCATCTTTCATAGAGGATCTAGTAATAAATTTATATTAAAAGTTTTTCAGTTACAATATATTTGTTTACTACATTAAGACACTTGTTCCTTGAACACACAATCTAAATTGCTTTGTCATTTAACCTGGTTGGTTTGTAGTATAGAAAATCAGTTTTTCTTTTTTGTTATTTAACTAAACAGTTAGAACAATATAATAATATTACATATAATTTTGAAACACAAGTTAGTTAGTCGGTAAATTCTATGAGGATATCGGAATTATTTTGAAACTAAGTTAACTAAATTAAAAAAAACTACTAATTTAATACTTTCACAAAATGCATTGCAAAAAAAAACAAAAAAAAAAAAAAACAGGGGCATTGTTTTTTAATCTTACTAATCTCACACTGTTTTTGGAAAACCAAGAGTCTATTACTCACAACCTTTAATAATCAAGTGATACAGCAATGCAAGTAGTACAACAAAAAACTGTTAAACATGGTAGGAAAATAGCAGCTTACGTGAAAAATCATAATTAAAAAAATTAACAATAAAAATTTCTTATTACAAAGAGACATGAGCAAGATAGTACAAATTTAATTTAAAGTTTCACACCACCCCAGCTCAAATTATTAAATTCTCGCCTTCATCATTTTTTTCCTGCAAATTACATTACTAGAATATTAGGTATTTATTTTCTATTCGATTAAACCGAAAGTTTCTTTTATTTTTATTTCATAAAACAGTCTAGTGACAATGCTCAGTTAACGATGCCGTTTCATAGAAGAAAGAAAATGTATTTCCATTAAAACGATTTTACTGATCAAAGAAACAGGAGATAGCGAAAATCAATATATAAGCCATATCAAGAAAATGTACAGTTGATCTAGCCATCCTTGTACCATGTTCTACTTATGAAGGTTACTTTTATAGTTATAGATGAATAATGATTAACCCATTGGGTATTGGATCCACTATTTATTTTGAGAACATACCTAGAATATGAAAAAATAATATCTTTGTATCGATCGTTTAATTGCAATTTTTAAAACTGTAGTGTTGGCCAATAATGGAAAATATCCACTATTCTACCCTGATGAAAACAATTATAGGGAGGAGCGTTTTTTTTCTCTTTAAAAACAAAGAATAACGTAAGCAATGCCTATAAGCAAATAAGATTTCAAATAATAGCTAAGTTCTTCGAAGACACCTCTGCCACTCAGTGGCCTATGACGTCAGCAGACAGTGGCACTGTGATCTCGCTTGGATAGAAGTACCACATTTTCTCACTGAAACTTATACAGTAAGGGCGTTTTGAAACAATGTAGTTTAGTCCAATCCCTGTTAACATTCGTCGTCAAGATGGCGGACAGTTGGAAGACTCGAAGCGGACCAATCAAATCTATCTGTTGAAGGGACTTTGGGATATCGAGAAAATTGGTGTTGACAGAGACAGAAACAGTAGTCCACCACAAAAAGGGCAACAATGCGGGTCGTTATTTGAGACTTCTAGCCAAAAGAGATAGGTTCAAAACAACAACAAAACTATCTCTCAACCAATATAACATCCTTTTAATGGATGTCACACAAATATTTAATATAGCCCTGTAGTCTGCATCTCTCTGAGTGTGAACGACAGAAAGTATGGTGCCAAGAACACTTGTCTTGGACAGAGGATGATTGGGGCTCTTCAGTGATGAGTCTGTCTGGACAGCAATTAGAGACACGTTCTCATCTGAAGAGAACCCGGGAGTCGATATCGGCTCTCTAACAATATCAAAAAGGACCACTATGATCGAGGTGGTATGAGCAGGCATCATGGCAGACTTTCGTATGTCCGATAGAGGTACTCTTACAGATCAGCAGTACAAGGTGATAATGCCCGTCCTCTCATTTGGCGGACGAATATCTCCAATAGAAGGATATTTAATGATTGGTGTGATCTGCTTTGTTCTCCTACCCCTTCAAAAACGTATGGGACGCCCTTGGACCGAAATAGTATGAAACACTGATGTGAGAGTTGCGTAGCTGTTGGAGGTTATGGTCCACTTTATTGGACATGTTTTTCTCTGACTGTCGGTCAGCTGTTGCGTTGGACAAGTGACCAGTTTCCCTATTTAGGGTATGTGCCTATTTTTGTTTTCTCATATATTGGTTTTATATCGGATATTTTGTCCAGGATTATTTTTATTTGTGTACCTTTTTATACAGTATGCCTTTAGGCGATACCGTGTATTCATTTTTCTGATATAATCAGTCAATCCCAAAATATTGATATTAAAAAAATATTGATATTTTGGGTCCTTTTTTTAAAATCAGCATAGTGCACTGGCGAGAGAAGGACAAAACTTAACCTAACAGTAATAGATAAAAGTTACGAACTCACAGTAGATTGTGTTGAATTATATTGCTTTGAAGGTACAAAAGCGCTGCAAATTATTTGTGAATCTTTCAACAATTAAAATCTCTTTTGTATCTTTAATTTCTGAGGTGTTATGAATGAGGTTTATAAGTTATATCTTTTGTTTAAGATGGAAATAAATCATTCCATGTGTTTTGTGCCTTTAATGTACTTAATTAGCGTAATGCAGATTATATAATTATGCAGCGATATGATGCCAGAGAAAGGATTCACAAATATTCTTTTTTCTTTGAAGGTAGTTTTCTTGTATTTACCAAATATTCCTCGATAGGATAATTAGATTAGTAAAAATAAATTAATTTATTGTTTTATCTATTACTTTTGCCTTTCTGATTCTAGCTACCCTCCTTGCTTATCTACTGTCATTTTGTGGTGCAAAAGAGTAGACGATATAAAGATATAAAGAAGATAAATATATCGCTCCAATATTTTTAATTAAGAAAAAATTACCCATTTATGTTAATTTAAGTATTAGGTATGTATTATGAATCTAAATGAATAACTATAAAATTTTTCTTACTACATATTTTTTAAATTAAAAGTATACTTATATTTTTATAGTTCGTCATCAAGCTAACTTCAGATTCTGGGTCTAGATTCAATGATACTGCAGCATCTGAATGGTCAGTTTTCATTCTGAAAGATAATAAACTTTATATAAGGTGATTGATGGAGAAGATATGATGAGTTAAAAGCATTTCTTAAGAAAAATAACTCATTCACCAGACAAACATTGACAAAGAAGTATTTTTGAAAGTCTTTCCCACACTAAGGAGAGGATGGGCTCCCACATAATTACTCACATAAAAACACAAATGAAGTACATGCGTCCTCTGCTCACGACTCGTTGAATCAATAAATATTACCCAGATAGCAAAATAAGTTCTATTTTCACTCAGCAAAAACCTTTTTACTGTAAACCTAAAAAGGTTAGTTATGCGGTTTACGTGTAAACCTTTTAACTTTAAAACGAGATCTGTAGACAATCTGCTCTATTCTACGCACATTACCCTAATCCAAAACCTGGGAAAACAATCTTCTACAAAAAAAACCTACAATCTGCTCTATTCTACGCACATTACCCTAATACAAAACCTGGGAAAACAATCTTCTACAAAAAAAACCTACAATCTGCTCTATTCTACGCACATTACCCTAATCCAAAACCTGGGAAAACAATCTTCTACAAAAAAAACCTTAAATCAAGGTTGACTTAGGGTTTTCAAGCTTGAAAAAATCCTTTAATAAAGCTCTCTGGTGAAAATATCTGAAACCTAGGTAATTACAAGGTTTCTTTTCAAAAAATCTTGTATGCTCAGTTAAAATCCATCTTATCATGATCTTTTAATGGACATTGCAATTTTATCCTATCGCTAGTGTGACGTCAGCTAAAACGTCATTATGGACCTAAGTGACCATTTTACTTAAGTGACAATATTTTCAAATAAGTTTTAAAAAGTAATTTTAATTAAATATAAAACAGCTTTCATCAGCACTCTTTTGTTTGAAAGCTGTTTTTTTCTTTCTTTTTTTTCTAAAATTCTAACTGACAAGGCTGGTTCCATCCAACATATCACACGTTTAACAAAAGGTGCCTACAGTAAGTGCCAATTCATTTCAAGAGCTCTAAGCCCTTACCAGATCTCTTCACTGTGCAAGTTGAGGTTGACAGCAAAGAAATAATTCCCACAATGATAACCATAAATATTTTAAGAATTGTTGAATTTTTGATAAAATTAAAAACCAATTTCGCAGGATCACATTTTTTATACTTAAATCCAATATATTTGATTTTTACTACAAAGTATTTAAAATCTTTTTCAAGATAATCAAGAGTTCCTAATGACCCAAAACTTAGTTTTCTCCTCTTTAATGCATATAAAACGCTGCATTGTGTATCACAGTAATATAGAAACTTGTTTAAGTGACACCAGCACTGCTTTCTTACTTTAAATGTAACGTTCTTATCTTCTCCAAAATGGTATTTTTGGATGTTGTCATACATATCTATATACAAATATAGTGAAACTGTCACGTTGACCATCCTTCAGAAAATCTCTGTGCTATCAAGTTTGGATTTAGAATTTCAATGAATTAGTGAAATAGTGTTAAAGTCTAACATAAACCTCTTTCGGAATTGACCATATGGGAAAATCGCTAAAGGCTTTTCGTAACTAATAGTTTTATAAGTTTTTCTAAGTAAATTTCAAAATGCTGAAATGCGCTTGTTGCGTTTTCTAATTGCATTTACGTTTTTGTGCACTGATATTTTAAGAAATTGTTTGTAAAATTTATCTGGCATGCCTCAGTAGCAGAATATGCATATTTCTTTAAATTTAAAAAAAAAGCAAGAAAAAAAAACTGAGAAATTTAATATTAAATTTCAAAAACAAACTAATTTTAGTTATTAGTAATTAATTTTTTTTTAAGATAATGCATTTCCTTAGGGAAAAAATTTTAAACAATTAACCTGATAAAACAATTGTTATGTATTACTGTACAAGACAGTAAAATTTTACTGGGAGATAGTACACATCTACACAAGCAATATTCGTCATAAGAAGTATGGGTGAGCCACTAGGGGGCGTTGTAAAGGACTTAAAATGGTCGATCCTCGCATTCAACGGGCATATCTAACGTGGATTGCTGGTTATACGAACCATGAAAAGACATATGCATTTCGTGTACGATACAGCGGACAGAAATGTCAGTAAGGCACGTAAACTTTAATGGAAACGGTTTCCAATGAGACGCACTCCAGGTAGGAAAACATTGGAGAATTTGCATCAACGACTGCGTGAAACGGTATCTATCGCCAAGCATCGTATCACACAGTCATTCCGAGGGGTATTTCTAGCCAACCTCATCAGGTAGAGAATGTGGTTCCAGCACGATGGTGCGCCAGCACGCTTCTACTTGGTTGTGCGGAACACTTTAGATGCAACATTCCCAAGGGGATGGATTGGTCAAAGTGGTCCATTACCTTGTCCCCCAAGATCTGATGATCTAGTCACCAGGATAGCCGTTGTTGCCAGAGATGTTAAGGATTTGTTAAGGTATTTTGACAAATGTCTGGTGTATACATGTACTTTGTCTGTCTGGTGTACATCGCTCCTTACGTCATCGGCGTGAAGCCTGCGTTGTAGCTGGCGGAAGATCTTTTTACCAAACTCTTTGAACAAATCTTCGAGCAATTTTTTGTACATCAATTATATCTTTATCTTGCGAGCAATTTCCTTGCACATAAATCACATTCCCGTGAATGAAAAGTTTTCTGAAGCATCTCTCCGTATTCTTTTGTTAATTATTTAAATGTGTTAGTGAAAAACTTCCTTTCAACTACTCACTGCTTGTGTTCCGATTCTATGATAAATATTGTTCGTGCAGATGCGGTCTGTCACCTAGTAAAGTTTTGCGGTCTTGTTCAGATAAATATTTTGCCCAGTTCAAATATTTTGATTGATAATTTATAATAAATGTACGATAACATGAATTACATACGACTTTCTCGATTTGATAATTTATAAAAGAAAATACGAATTATATCACCCTCTATAAGTTGGCCGCATGCCTATATTGACTACAAAAGCGATGCACCACAACTATTCAACTTTTACGGTTTCACTGTATTTGAAGACAGACGAGCATGTAAAACAATTTTGTGTCACAAATTGCTATTCGTTCTGTTTTCTTGTAAATTTCTTCTGTCAATATGCGCGTATGTAAGTTGTTTTCGCTTTCCTTACAAATGTTTGGCCACCTAGTATGCAAATAAGAATTCCGGTGGTTGTCCAACTTTCCCATGCAAAAATTTACCCTGATTTATTACAATCAATCTAATTCATTCTAACAAAGTTCTTGAGAAAAAATACATCTTAAATCTAATATATACAGTTTGTCTTGAAAACATAGGACTATTTTTATGAGATCATAGTAACTTGTTCTCTATTTCCTTATTTCAATTTTTGTAATTTCCCTGAATTCTGATTTACGAAAAACATGCTTCCTCGTCAACTTTTAAAAACCAGATTTTTCATTAAACACTATAATAGACTTAATTTAATGACACCTTTGAAAATCAAAATTATCTAGCTCAAATGTAATCAATTACGCTTCTATAAATAAGATTAGTCATGTCCGGATATGAAATTTTGATTTCTCTCTTTAAATAAAATTGATAGAAAATTTGACTAATGCTGTAACATAAGACTTTGCACTCGTGCCGCTCGAGACACTACTTTCTTTCACATAGTTAAGTTCATAGCTTAGCTATATTCACTTAGCTACGTAAGTTCTTCTCCGCTAATAATTGCATAAATATTGCGCAGTGTTGTTTATTAAATGAACGAAGTACAGTAAGTACAATGCGGATATTCAGTTCCGTCGGTTTAACCTTGAATCGTATTATGTAACATACCTTGAACCATAATATGGTGGAAATTCGTTACAATTGCAATGTAGTGTTAAATTGATGAATAAGTTGAAGTTGGTGATTAGGTTGAATATCGCGCATTCAAGTTCTGTGCATAAATTTGATGTGACTCAAGTTAGCACCACATCAGGATTGTAAGAAATTTGAACAATATTATGGTTATTACGTAAAAGGTTTTTAAAGTGCAATTCTGTTGACCAGAACAGAAACAGGTTAGTTATTTGAGTTCCTACCAGTCAACTAACTCTATCTTTAAAACCTCTAGTCGCATAATTAATCAACTAAGAAACATTGAAAGGAAGATCAGATTTATGTGTCAGACTAATGATATTCTAGATTAACTTCAAATTCTTATTACTCAGAAAACGAAGTAATTTTATTAAAAATGAATATTGAAAGAAATCTGTTAAAGAAGCGAATTAAAACTGAAAGAAAAACCACCTAAATTCTTCATTAGTGCTTCGAAGATGATATGACAACATTTCAAATACGACTGGTTCATTATCATTACATACGAACACAAACGAAGACTCCCCTTCTAGTAAATGGTGACTAATGCCCGCTAAATCTGTCGAGTCGCAAAATCCTCCATGTTCCCTTAATCAATAGCTCTGGGGGTACTTACTGATCCAAGAATTTCCTTGTCTTCCGGATTGGTTCAAAATTACAAGGCTACGGAGTTGAACTTTAGTAGTCGTGAACCCAAAATTGGGTCGGTTGTTGAACGACGGATATAAAATAAAATAAAATATTTTTTTACAGGAATGGAATTCTGATTAGTAAATTTATAATTCGCAAATGTTAATTTAGTAATCATGTCTATGAATTAGTAACTAATAAAAATCTATAAGTAATAAATACATCTGAGATGATTACCTCAATCCATCAAAATTTTTATTTAAGTGGTAAAATATCTGACCATTACATAGATAATTATACTGATAAATGTTTGAAAACTCTACCCAAGTTTTCAAAACTTCAAAAAATAATTTCATGTCAACGAAGAAATAGAATATTTTTTCTTAGATGATAAACTTTCTTTCAACATGTAAAAAAGAGAAATAATAACATAAAGATATAAGCTATACGCACCTCGCAACTAGACCGTATTATTTTTATCAAAAAGAACAATAAATCCAGTTCTTGTATATCCCTTTACTTGAAAGAAGAAATAATTACACAAAAACCATCTTTCTTCCTTCACTATATCCTTTATGAGGATATTTTTGTGGCATGCAAATTTCCACTCCCATCAAACGGCCAAAAGGGTTAAGCGATCATACCAGGAAAAAAAAAATCTTTCCAAAGAGGAAAAAGAAGCCAAACAAACAAGAAGTAAAGATCAAGAAGACAACCGCTGAATAGAGAGAAGAAACCATCTCCTTTATAATAAAACGACGGGAGATCGCTCGCAAGTGACCGTAAATGTCTGAGTCGCAATTTACGACGCAGCACCATCTTCTTTTTTTTTCCTTCCAGAAATGCATCTTTTCCAAGAGAGAACACGTGGATGTGACTTCCGGACTTTTGCCGCGGAAGCGAGCTGTGCTGGGATCTCCATAGGCAATATATATCTAGAAGAGAGCGGCGGAGGATATCAGCAGCTTCTGTCATTAGATATTTTCCTGCTTGAAAAAATGGACATTTATAATCTTCCATTCAAGAGCTGAAATGTTAATGGCAGCTTTGTCTGATGATTCTGCTTAGTTCCGCGTTTCTCCGTCTATCATTTGATGGCATAAATCACTTCTTCAATAAACAATATTAAAGTTTTGTTATTTGAAATTTCCAATAAAACAAGTTACCGTCTAAACCACAATATTAAGAACCCCTTTTCTTCCTGACAGAACTGTCAAGAGATTCTTAATATGCTTTGAATCATTTTTATCATTTTTTTTTTCAAATAAACTGAAACATATAAACTTTTTTCTAATAAACTAAAATTAATTGAATAAACTGAAATCGTAGATCTGGCTGGGATAGCCTGGTTGGCAGGGCGCTGGGCCAATGTTCAAGAGTTCGTGTGTTCGATCCCCGCCGTCCGAAGTCTCTCCGTGTAGTAAATGGTGACTGACGCGCGCTAAATCTGTCGAGTCTCAAAGTCCATCATGTTCCCATAACAAATCAACACCTCTGGGGGTACTGATCCAGGAGTTTCCTTGTCTTCTGGATTGGTTCAAAGTTACAAGGTTACGGACTTGAACATTAGTAGTCGGAAACAATTGGATCGGCTGCTCTTCGACGTATATAAAAAATTTTTAAAAAAATGAACTGTTGTTGCATAGATCTTTACTTTATTCGGCCGTATACACTGTGAAAAATTATGGTAAAAAGTACCGGAACTCAGGGTGCCCGTACATTTTACAGGAGCATGTTACGGAACAAAATTCTGATGCACCATAATTTTTACTGTAATAATTGAATCATTCTAATTACTGCAAAAATTGAGGTATAATATTTTATGGTGAAATTCGTAATTTTTTACAGAGTACTTCGATGGATGTAAAATACAAGGCCGTCGAGTTTTTTCCAAGAGATAAATGTATACTAAATTACCTTTTTAAAATTCCTAATCACATCATTTTCAGTTCAGTTTCAATAGAATGCTAGTTTACATTACACTAGTCATTAAATGTCTTTTAAAGTATGAAAAAATCGGGAAATGAATTTCATGCAATTTGGTTACGCTAATTTGACCTAATGAAATCAATTATATTATTTAGCAATTTTCAGTATTAAACAAATATGGTGCAAAATAAATCTTTTAACAAAGTATTAACATTTCAAAAGAAAAATATACATATAATATTTTTTTACTCTATTTCACACTTTTAATTTCAAAATTTTTTTTCTAGCCAAACAAGTGTTGACCAGCTTGGAGGCGAAAAAGGTTTTATGATACAATTAGAATTAATACAAGCAAACTGAAACCCCAACTGAAGTGCGACAGAATGAAGATACGGAAACAAAGTATCCTTTTTTTATTTTTTCTTACTGACTAGAACCTAGATTTAAATTAACATTAGTCAATATTTACTGGGACATTAATAAATTTTACGACAATTAATGTTCGTACAAAAAATCTGATGAAATAAATAAAAGTTGCAAGAAACCAACCTTTTTTCCAGAAGAATATTAACGAGATCATGAGATCATATGTTGCAATCCTGTTGATGACACTTTTTCAGAACTAATTCCTAATTTCAGAGATAATCTTTTGAATTCCACAAATTATATTCCACAAAACATAGGTAACATTTTCTTTCTGTAAATATATAATAAGCTTAAAGCAACTAAAAATCAAGACTTCTACTAAATTGAACTATAGTATCTAGTAATCAAGTGCAAAATGGTAAAATATGTACTGTTATGTAGCTCTATTTAGCGTTAAACTAGACTGTAGCAAATCTGGATGATTGGTTTGACAAGTTACACAATTTTCGACAATGCATACTTAACTGTCTAGCCCCCCCCTCCCTCCATTAATTTTGCATATGCATATTTTTGGTGATCTTGGATCTTCCCTCGTTCGCAGAAACGAAAGTAAATAAAATTTAAAAAAATTTAATTACACTTTTACTTTATCAAAGTGTAATTAATTATTTCCTTTTTACCAAACTTAATTTAGCTGTATTTCTTATTTCTTTCTCCTTTCTTTTTTTTTTTTTTTTTTTTTTTTTTTTTTTTTTTTTTTTTTTTTTTTTNTTTTTTTTTTTTTTTTTTTTTTTGATAAAGAGGACTTAAAGTCTTTTGAATTGCTTAAGCACTCCTTCCTTTTGTCCTTCTTTAGCATTATATTTTACTGCCCCTAACCTGGAAATAATAAAACTCTTCCATGTACCCCGTTGAGAAAGATGGTCTACTCTTTACAAATACATTTATGTATATTAAAATGTATAAAATATATGCTGAGACGACAGACTACATCTTGTTTGCAAAATCAGGATCTGTGACAAATATACAAAATCAGAGCCTGGTTTAACATTTAATGAGACTCGGCTGGTTGGTTGCTGGCTACTGAAGAAAAACAGGCCCATTGAATACCTGAATTCCTAAGCAGATGCAATTAATGACCTAAATTACCTATCCAAAATTACTGAACTTAATTGCTCCCTCAAAAAATAACATAAAATTTTTGCTGTTCTCTCTCTCCCTCAAAAAAAAAAAAAAAAAAAAAAAAAAAAAAAAAAAAAAAAAAAAAAAAAAAAAAAAAAAAAAAAAAAAAAANTTGAACAGATGACCCAATTTTGAGTTTACAACATACAATGTTCAACCCCGTATCCTTGCAATTTTGAACTTAACCCAGAAGACAAGGATCCTGGATCAACCATTGGGATAAACTAGCCTTTGTAAAGGTCTTTTTGATGGAACGATTAATACGTTCGATTAAACGAATGTTACGTGTTACGATTAATACGTCCCACGGTCAGCCCGACGGCAAAAGGATTCCATCCCGTGATCCATCAACCACTGAGGATATTTTTCATCAGCACTGTGGTCGGGAGCAGATTTCGTATTAACCAGCCACCGCTGAGATTCGGACCTGGGACACCTCAATGGGACGCGATTGCTCTATCCCCTGAGCCACCACGGTTCAACGAGCAAGATGCTTAATGACATTGACTTAAAAGCATTTCAAATCAGGGCATGAAATTTTAGCTCTCAAGTTACTAGTCAGACTAAAACTTTTACTTACCACTATATCCACGAAGAACTTTTTAAAATGATGACAGGTGTAGTAACTTAGACCATAAAAGAATGTAGAAACTAAAAAATTGAAACATATTTAATGAAAAGAATTATAACAATATCAACGTAAAATTAAGTTGTTGCCGTAAGATTTTTGGAAATCATTAAGACTTATTAAAATAAGAAAAATAGCAGAAGCTTTACATATCTGGAGATTTCCTGTACTTCATGTTGCGTATTGCTGCGTTTCAGTTTAAAAGTACTATTTGTCAGTTGCAGCTGTAGGGTCAAATTCTAATAAGCAGGGGAGATTGTCCTTTGTCAAAGTTGCTACCCTATTTATTGCGTGTAAGCGAGGGTCTTCAGCTCCGAGAAAAATATAAAACTTTGCCAGCCTAAATTTTCGGTTGGCCAGGGTGAGCTGGAAATTTTGCGCAGATAAATTTTGATTTATAGCTATGGGAAAGGTCCTTATTGCTCTGGTCAATCCATCTAAAAATTCTGAGAAATGCAAGTCGAAAAAAATAATGGAAAAAATTAAAAATTCTGGTTTTAAAAATCATAGCTCTATATCTCTTCACGCAATTTAGTAAAAAATACAATACTAAGAAGTAAATTTGACAGAATAAATGGTTTTTATCCCTTGTTTTAATTTATCGTGATAAAATTACCAAATTTCACCACATAAACCAAATTTTATAGCATATTATTAAGTGTTATTATAAAGTATATTGCTAAATTTACCAAAATTGTTACCAAACGCTTTGGTAAAAATGACCGAACTTGTTGATGTTCCCTGAGAGTCAGAAACTCATTAAATCTAGTTATATTCTGGTTGTTTTGACCATACTTTTTCTCAATCTGATATGGTTGCTTATATAACAGGGGTTTCCAACTTACATGAGGCCGGAGTACGCAATTAAAAACACCAGTCAAATGGCGGGCTTCAACTATATCAAAATTTTATATAGATGTTTGAAGGAACATTAAATATTACTGTCAGATATTTTATCAAATAGTACAAAACAAACGTATTGTATACACGATTATTTTTGTTGTTGAATAAATATTTTCTTGGATGCAAAACCTGAGAAATAAATTTTTTTGCGCCGTTGGTTTGTTAAATTTAAAAGAAACGAAGAAACTAGGTTTTTTTTTAAACGAAGGAAAAGTATTTTAAACCCATATAGATGTCTTACGAAAACTGTCTGCAAAAAATGACAACTAATATATTTTAGTTCGAATGGCCACAAAAAAAGGCTTCGTGGGGCCAGATGCGGATCGCCAGTTGGTAACCACTGTTATATAACATTGCCTGCATCTAAACATTAGCATTTTTTATCGGGAAAATATTGTCATGAAATTGTTTTCTGGAAAATACTTGCCTGTAAATATCAAAAAAGTTCTTTTTAAATATATTTCCGCAACTATTTCTGCCTGTAAAAAGGTACGCTCTTCAACCAGGGACACAATTTTCGTTTAAGAAATAAAATATAGCATAGAACTAATTATTTAAATTTCGATTGTACCCTATTATCAGTACAGACAATGCAATTCACAATTGAAAATCAATTGTTAGTAAAGCAAATTAGTGTTTCGGGAAAAATCCAAACCTGTTTCCAATCTGAGCAATTATATTAGCTTAGTTCAAAACCTAGAAGTCACAAACTAACAGATTTCAAAAAATGTTACAAAAGCATTAAATTGTTTCTTTCCCTCTCTGAAATCCGAGGAAGACTTGAAATCGTCAGTATATCCTATGAGGGGTGATAAGAGATAATTTTGTCACTGAAGCAACTAGATATTCAACAGAGACTCTTTTTTCTTCACACAGATTTCTTTGTTTTTGCCGAATACAAAGATAACTCTTAAAAGCAACACATGATCTTAGTGATTACCAAAAGCGAACCATCTATTTTCTTCTAACAAGATGCAACTTAGTAAATTCTGTAAAATAATTCAAACAGAAGTTTTAAACTACTTAATCTTCTAAATATTAATTTAAATCCATCAACCAATTAGTCTTTACTTGATTATTTGATTAATATTTTTACTTCTTTCGCTTATCTTTTGTCTTTCTCTATAATTATTTCTTATATTAATAACTCTGTAAAATACTGGAACCATGTAGAACTTGGGGGGAAAAGGGTAAGAAAGGGACAGACTTTTTATATTTTGACTGTTGAACAGTATAATGTCAACACTCTCAGAAATAAAACTCTCAATTTTGATGATTTTACAATCCTTGAGCTCATTTTGAACATCATTTCGCCACGAATTCGCGTGATTTGTGCTGAAATGCGAACTCTCAAAATGTTTCCTTAACTTTGGACCTCATTATGAGAGAATGTTAAATAGAATGACGAAATAAGCGGACCGGAATGGTGGCTAAAAGGTTAGGCTCATGCTAGAGGATCCCGAGTTCGAATCCCGCTTCGGGCATTGATGGAATTTTTCTCTCCGTTCTATCTGTCCTTCTTGTGCTGTTGATTAGGGTGACGTTGATTCACCTATATGGTGCTTATAAAAAAGTGAACAGAATTGCCCCCCCCTACTTTTAAAAAGGAAAAGAAAAATAGAATGATGAAGATTTCTTAACTTTTGACGAAATCTATTCTCTCGGAAAAGTGTCGATAGTTATTTTGCCACTTTGACAAAAGTCTTATTCCTAGCTTATACCAGTAAATGGTTTCGTCAAAAACGAGTAATGTTTCACGAGATTTGAGTATCCATTTTTGACAGTGTTGTTATTCTTCTTTAGCTTTCTAACCCACCTGTTAATTTTTAGACTTATTGTAGTGATCCAGCATAAATTTCGGAAAATTAAATTTAATTGCTCAACAAGCTTGACTTATTTCAAGCGATTGCTTATTGTACATTTTAATAAAGACTTTAATTGTTAAAGGTTTATTGCAATAAGCCTAAGCGAATTCAGTCTAAGAAATTTTTTGCACGCTTCGTAGTGTGAATGTGAGCTGATTATAATAAGCCTTTTCATACGAAAAAGAAAATATTGCAGACATTTTCAATCAGTTCAGTGCATTGCTAAAGTTAATTGCTAACTCAGCTTTTAAATTGTTCTAAAATTGTCGTTTCAAAGCTCAATCAACAAAATGATGAAACTTCAGTAACAGAGCCCAAAAATGCCGATATTATCTATCGAATTCGAAGACAATTTATTGATATTAAAGGATTAAGTTGTTTATTAAGTATTAAAAATAATTTCGTTACTTGTATTACAAAAATATTTACTGTAGAAAGATTCCTCTTGAAATCGACAATTCCTCTTCATTGTTCTTGTTTCAGTCTTTCCCAGTCTTGTTCAGTCTTTCAGTCTTGTTGTCTGTTTATTGATGTTTCCTGATTATCTGTAAAAATTTAAAATACTTACATAGTGTAAAAATTACTCTCAAGGACATTATTTTTTTTCTACAATCGGTTTCTCTCTCCTAGCCACAATTTTTGAAAATCACAACTAGTCGTTTATATTTTGTCGCACTGTACAAATTTAAAAATATTATGTGTTACAATAGGTTGCAGAAATGTTGCGACGAACTTTTAGAGGAGTAACGTAGGCATCAGGATAAAAATTGCATAGGATCATGTGCTTTGAAATGTCGTCATATGCAACTACGGCCTCCATTAAAAACTGTTTCTAAGTGTACTTTTGAACGAATCATAATAAGGGAAGCGCCCCTAGCTACCTACGAAGACTTTCCAGCCATGGTTTCTTATACAATTTTCATCCTAATGATGAGCCTAAACTCCTCTAGAAATTTGTCGCAACATTTACGCAGCTCCGAGTTTTAGTAGCATTTTTAAATTCGTACATTTCGACAAAAAAAAGACTAATAATTTTATTTATAAAAAGTTCTGTGGCTTCAGGAGTAGAACTAATTTCGGATTTGAAATCCTCTCTCCCAAATTAGGCAAGATCAAGTACATTATGAAAAATTACGATAAAATGCACCGGCACTCGGAATTCAAGGTGCAGAAAAAAAAAAAACAATACTTACTGTAAAAATTACGATAATAACTGTACCGTAAAATATTAGAATATCATGGTAATTACAGTAAAATATTGTAACAAAAAATTTGTTCCCCAGTGTAACTTATTTTTTACAAAAAAAGAACGTAGAATTTATTTATTTATGTGAAAACAAAAATTCACAATTGCATGGATTGTTTGCTTTTATTTAGTATTTAACTGTCAATTTTCCTTAGATGCTATAAATAATAATAATAGATGCATATTTATTCGAACTGTAAGCATAACATGTATAATAAGCATAACATGTTAACAGTTTGATGATCCACGTCGGAGGGACAAGTGGAAATTGTAATTTTACCAGATTTTTTTATGAATATGAATAAATTTAGTACGTATTCATTTATAGTACTAAAATATTTCTGGCATAGAAACATATTTACAAAATATTCCTTGAGAAAAATATCAATTAACAGCGTGCTTCACGCTCTCAACAAAACAATGAAATATTGCCCCTTGAAAGAAAACAATAAATATTTAAATATACATTTCAGTGTCCGGATAACAGACAATCTTTCGGCAAGCATTTCATTTTCATTTGATTAGCTTAGAAATGTTATCTTATTAACTTATTAATCATTTTTTAAACTTAGTAAAAATATTAATATGCTAAGCATGTTTGCTTAAAGGTTTAATAAAGGCATGGAAAAAAAAATTAGTTTAATTTACCCTTAGTTTGATAACGCCTTCAACTCTTGATTTGCGAGCGATGATTCATCCTCGATAGCTTTTTCCAGCCTTGTTTTGTAAAGGCAGCCAGCCTTGTTTTGTAAAGGCAGATCCTATCTGGATATAAAAAAGTTTTAAGCTCATAACATGTGAACTAGCATAGTTATATTTAACATTGTTTTAGGCTTGCATGGTTTATTTGTTCATCATTTCTTATTGGGCTTTGTGGTGAAGGTTGGTGCTGGCATTAAAATCAACGTTACACTGCTATTTTTAAAAACTTACTCTAAAGTACTTTTGTGCAATATGATCATAAGATAATGCCAGGTTTTTTGGAGGATATAGGACCTTTTAAATATTACGTAAGCGCCTGGGAATATTTCCCCTACCTCTGGTCAGCAAATGACCATTATTTCATTCTTATTTACAACTTTAAAAAATTTCATTCCAATGAATTATCAGAAGTAAAATTACGATCTTTTTAAAATTATGATTACTTATCTTTTATTATTAACTGTCTACTCTGATTATATTTTATTATTATTAATTATACCCTTAATTAATTATACCTTATATTAATAATTAAGAAGTAATGATTATGTAATATTATACTATCTGTCGCTTGCCATGTTTGAGGTAATAATTCAAAATAAATTCGAATAATTATTTTTTATTTACCTAAAATTTTGGTTATTTTAACTTTTATTATTATGATTTTTTTTTTAGTTTTTTGTTGCTTGAAATTTTTTTTATTTTTAATTTGTAATTTTTAATGCGAAAAATGATTTTCAACCGAAACACTGTTACAATCTGACATCATTGCATGATCAACTTTTTAAAAAATTTTTTATTGCATTCCGTATTTTTTGATTAATAGTTATTTGTTTTGTACATCTTTTGATAAGCTATTAGAAATTTTTCCTCTTTTATAAATTTAAAAATGCTTTAAATTATGTGAACTGAAGCGTACTGGAAATAAAATGTTCTATCCATAAAATAAAAAATAAATTTATTCTCGTGTTTATTATACTTCCAGCATAATTCGACAAATAATGAAGAAAAATAATAAGATTACAATAAAAAATTAGAAGAATACTTTACAGTGATTTTGATTAGATAAAATACTTTCGTATAAGATGATTTTAAAATAAGCTTGGAGTCTATACTATAAAAGCAACTGGATCAAATTAATTCAAATATCACAGACATTTAGTCCAAATCATGAAGAAAAAAATTTTAGAATTATTTTATAAATAAAACTGTTTTGATTTTGTTTTATGAAAAAAAGCAAGGAATGTTATTTTTAAAATCCCACGAATTTTTAATTAGCTTAGTTTGAAAGGAAAAAAAAGCCTTACATTTAGCTAAAGAGCTTTTGAAATACGTATTATAAGTGTAATTTGATCAAACTTGAATTAATAAGGAAGAAAATGATACTTACCCATTTCGTAATACTTAACTCTGGTTGTGTTCGTATAACATGAAATGAGACTTGCAAGCTTTCAACAAAAACCATCTCCAAAATTTATTCACGTTTCCTATGTGGTTTGTAAAAAGTGGTAGCATATAAACTAAAGCAGAATTTTTTCTTCCCCAGTAACCACTATGATATCTTATTAACTCAAGTAAATATTATGGACAGAATTTATTTTTCTTTATTGCATCATAACTATACAAATAATTTTTATTTGTTTAAAATAAAACTGCTACAACATTTTAAAATGTTCAAGAACACTGAGAATCATGTTTTCCTAAATTTTCGGGAAAAAGAATAGTAAAGAATTAGGTTGCAGTGGCGTAGTTTCTTGCACTAAACATACCCAAAATTGTAAGATTGCGTTTCAGAATTTAAAAAAAAAATTGTGATGATTTTTTTAAATAAAACATTCTCAAAATAGGGAAAAGTAAAATATTTCTATAAATAATGGTTTATGGTATTTACACGATTTGTTTTTTTGAATTGAAAATGTGATTACATCAATCATTTCAAAAAATAGCTTATAATTACGCCGTATGCTTTGTCCACTGTTAAGATTTCACAAATATTAAAATATTATTTCTTTTGCTAATTTTTCTTATTTAATTTATTTATGCATAATTTTCATAATTTTTTTTTTTTTAAATTTTCGGGTTAAGACATTATCAGCTTAAGACATTAAAGATTGTTTGCAATTTGGTACTCAAAATTTGATAGTAACTACGCCATTTACTTGTTGCACTGTCAAGATTTTGCAATGATTAAAATGTTTTTTTTCTTCTTCACTAATTGCTTTTTTTCCTTTTTTTTAATTTTTGAGACATAATATTCAATTTGAAACATTAAGAAGTGTTTAAAAATGCATAGAAATGAAATTAAACAAGCATTTTAATAACACTTCTTCAAATTTCAATCGAAATTTATTTAAAAATCCCTTCAACGGTTTGAAAATTACAGATCAGTACTATTAAAAACGTCATATGTGTTTAAAATTTGGAAAGCAGGATAACTAATCACTTGTTTAATCCCTTATCACTTGCTTAATTCAATCAATTTATTGACTTCACATTAAATATTTGAAAAACATCCTCAAAACGTATTGTATATTAATTTTGATAGTTGAATTTAAATTAATGAATAAGTCTGATAAATTAATCATAAATATGATTAAATTATTTATGTTTCTTCTATCTTTTTGCAGGAACATTTTACTAAGTTTTCCTCCAGGCAGAGCTTAAATAGAACATTTTATTCTCTTCTCAGCTGAAAAAGAATTAGGAATACTTTTTGAAGTATGAGGGTTGAGAGAAACTGTGGTGAAGATCACTGGCACACCCAAGAAACTTTCAAAGGTATACATTTTCTTGATTTAGTGCACCCTTCCTTGTACCTTTCTCTTCTTCTTACTATGTTCAGTCTTGCGCAAAGTATTCCATTGTAGTTCATGTTACCTATTTAAAATTGCATTTCTAAATTCATCTCACTGGAGACTTTCTTTATGCTCCGCAGAAATTGATTTTTTTTCCTTTTTTGTTTGTAAATGTTTATGCAAGTGCTTACTTGGTAGAAGTTTTTTAGATTAATAAAGAAACTTATTACACGTTTGTTGATTGATTGTTTTTGATCAGATTTTGTTAAAGAAGATAAAAATGAACATAAATTAATGAAAAATCTTAATTAATTGAGTCTCTTTAACTTAATAAAATAGTTAGTTATGCATTAAATAATAGATTATTTTTGATCAGATTACATGAGTCTTTATTTCGTTATTTTTAAGAATTCTAAGATTTCAATTTTCTCTTGAAACATATGAGGCTTCAATAAATCCAAGAAATATTAGATAAATAAATATTCGATAGTAGCTTTAAAATTCGCGATAAATTGAATTGTTTTTAGTAAAGACTATGTATTAAACTTAATTATACTTAAAAGGAAAACAGATTTGATTTTTTTTTACTTTTGTTTTTAATAATGTTTTTATCGTAAGAAAAGAAATTAAGCGTGACGTTTCGCAGTATGTTTTACGACTTTGAAATTTTTTTTCTTTATTTTTGATTGTTCATTTGAATGCATTATCACGTTGTATATGATATATTACGTGATGATAAATACATTACGTGATTATGTATACATTAAATACATTATCACGTATACAAGTTGTTGATTTGAGTTTTTAGTAGAAAAATATATTAAGTTCTTTTGTACAATTTTAAAGTCATCTTTACTTATATATAAACGTGTATTTTGGCATGCAACTTTTTACACTGAATTTGCAATATAATGAAACAAATATTCTAAAATGTACCACTGGCACATTCACTCCCTAAAAAAAGTATTGCAATAATATTAGATGAAGCATTTTTGATACTGAGCTAATTTCATGTATAAGGTAAACATTCACTTGTCAAATGAATAAACCATTTTTTCTTTTATTTGACAAATATTAATTATACTTTTCTGCATACTTCATGTCAAATTAATTGCATCATTAAAAGAAATATTGTTATGGCATTTCTAATTCTTTTTTCAATTGTTTAAAAAGAGAAAAAAAAATTCATTTGAATGTAATATTTGTTTTGTTGTTATTTTTCAATAACAAGAGTAAATTTAGGTATTGTATCAAACATTTAAAACATAGTTTAGATTTTTGTTATCTCCAAGTACCTCCCTAAATCTACCTTTATCTAAGGGCAAATTTGTCATATTCGGCTTTCACCTGAAGTACAGTATACTATTTTTAAGAGATTTTTCATAAAAAGTGATCGAATAAACATTAGTTTTTTAAATAAATTTAAAGCAAGCGAAATATTTGCTAAATTTACTCTTGTTTTAGTCATCATTATTTGTGTTAGTTGAAAGTGGAAGCTCGTTTAAATAAATTCAAATAATCAACTCGAAATTTTTTTTTTTTTAAAGATTGTGTGTTTTTTCTTAATCGCAAAGTCTATGAGAGAATAATCATCCAGTGAACAAATTTTATCGCTATTGTACATTACATTATCAAGTGTATTTTTGTAGCTCAATTTATGGAAATTATTCTCTTCATAAGTAGTTGTATTCGTAAGAAACAAAAATTTAATAATAAATTAGTTGAGTTAATGAATAATGAAAATGACGAGGTTCCACTTTTTCCAATATTTGTGGCTGCTTTGTACTTAACGCTACTGCAAGCATGGAGTGCAAGGTTTAAATGTTTAACTAGCTGAAGAGAAAGACAAATAATAGTACCCATTTATAAATTTATGAAATGAATACAATTAAATCATAAATAATTATCAGTTTCGTAACATCGAATAAAAGTTTATATTATGCAAAGGTTAACCTATACAGTATAATACATAGTTTAGAAAACAACTGCATTGTAACTTTTTTCAAAAGGAAAAATAATAATATTAAATTTTTTATAAAGGAAATACTTTTGTTATACTTGAAAAAAAAAATTTTTTTTACTTCGCATAACTTTATAATAATGCAAATAAATAAACATTTCTCCGAGCTTTGAACTTTACTGAAATTAAACTAAGCTTTTAATTTCAAAACTTGAATTAGAACTAAATAGAATATAACAAGGAAACGTTAAAGTCATATATTGCGCTTTTATATTTTCTAAGCTTTAAATTTATATTAAACTAAATCAAAAATTTTAATTAAAGCTAAACAAAATATGACATATAATAGATAATAAAATGCATGTTACGTCTCTACATTGCATTAATTTTCGTTTAAAACGTGTTTCATTTGGTTATCGATAGCATTTTTTATTCTTAAAGACAAGCTATCGCACAAAAATTTTAATTAGAGCTAAACAAATAATATAGAATAGATAATAAAATATATATCATGTCTCCACGCCTTATTAATTTTTCTTCGAAACGTGTTTTATTTGGTTATCGATAGTTTCATTTTTTCCCCCCAGAAGACAAGTTATGAGTTGTCTCACAAAAACTTCTTTCTCATGTTCAGAAACTTTCTAAGTAAAGAAAGAAAGTTTATAAAAATAGAAATTTCCCAACTATATACAAATTTCACGTCGAACTAACACAGATATATAAGCGATAAAAATCAGCGATGAAACCGTGGAAAATTTCTGTTGATACTTCTCCTCGTCTCTGTCTTCTTTTTTTTTCTTTTTGTTTGCAGATCCATCTACACCAACTGCATGATATCAAAGCACCAGAAAAAGAAGAAAAAAATATAGCACAAGGGCTGTATTCCCCGGGCAGTGTAGATCGAAGAATGCTACCCACGAAGCTTTTGTAAAGAGCAGTCATATATGAATGCAAAGTATGAAATCTCCCTGCTAGAGGGATTGAACACTGCTGCCTATTCATAATTTTGCTTGCTATTCACACCTTAATATTAAAAAGAAAAATATCAACAAAAAAAATGGAGGGAAAAATATCGATAAAAGAAATCCGCGGTGAACTTTTTATAAGCATTTTTTAAACCAATTTTGTCTGCTTTCCAAAAAGCCATATGTATACTAATATTATAAAATTTTTCAGTTTCTAATAGACACAACGAATTTTTATGTAACGTTCATTTTATGTAAAAAATTGTCCAAGAATTTTAATATTTATGCAAACTTAGCTGTTTGTCAATGGTCTCTATCGTAATAATTTTTATATTACTGTCTGTTGATACAAATCAAGGTGAATTAAATGTGTATTAAGTTTTTTTATTGTTCTTGAAATTATTTTTGGGTATAAATATTAATCAGTCAATGTAGACAAAGACTATGTTTGACGGAATTACACTTGGAAATGCTAATTTGGTGAAGAAAAAATTTTCTTTCAATACTTTTTATTTTTGAATTAATACAAAATTAAATAAAAAAAATAAATAAATAAATAGTAAAAGATTCAAAGTGTTATTGTTTTGCAAAACACTTAACAGAGTTTTAAAGTATGGAATAACAATGTAGTATAGTTCATACAGCCGTTCTTAATGTCAGATATTTAATATGCGGCATCGAGCTAAATTGAAATATGGGGTATTACATGAATGAAATGTGTATAATGACATAAATTGGAATATGTATAGTTACATTAAGTGAAATCAATATTTACTGTTATATTTCAAACCATAAATAAGTTACGAATAGTTCAGGACGGGTACGATTAGGAAAGAGTAACAAACAAAAAAAAAGAAAAAAGAAAGGAATTTTAATATTTGACAACATTTTAAATACGACTGGTTCATTATCAGTACATACGAACACAAACGAAGACTCCTTGTGTAGTAAATGGTGACTGATACGCGTTAAATCTGTTGAGTCACCAAGTCCTCCATGCTCCCATAACAAATCATACCTCTGGGGGTACTGATCCAGGAATTTCCTTATCTTCTGAATTGGTTCAAAATTACAAGGCGACGGAGTTGATCATTAGTAGTCGTAAACTCAAAATTGGGTCGGCTGTTCAACGACGGATATAAAATAAAAAAATGCGAACACAAAATATGTGTCATATTTTAATATTTAATTTCGAATTATTAACATGAACAAGGCTTCCTTCACATGATTTCGAAAAAAAAAAGAACTTGATTAGCGATTACTGTCACCTTGAAGCCATGTATATAGCTAATATATCAACGAATAAATAGAGTAAAAAAAAAAATTATAATATAAATATATACGTTAAAATCGAATAAAATTTTGTTAAGTAACTACTGAAAAAAAAAAAAGGAAATCATAGTTAATTGAAATTAAACCGCGAAAGGCAAAATAAAACAAAACTAGAAAACTAGCATTAAACTAATTCTAGAATTATAAGTCTTATGCAGCTGAAAAAAATGTTCTGTAAACATATTGAAAAAGTTTAAAACAACAATCTAAACCAAAGATTTTGCGTACAAAAAAGATGTGATAACCAAAATATAATTTCTGATAAAAAATAAGGTAATAATTGAGAGAATGCTACAATTTTTCTACCGACAAGAAAATATTAAATATATAGCAAGTAATGCGTTCTTGAAATAAGCATTAGAAATAGCGAATCTTTTTTTTTTCTTCGTATTTTTAAATTTTTGTGTATATATAAAATATTTTAAATAAGTCACGGTTATTTAATATATCATTACTGTCATTATTAACCACTATTACAATATATTAAGCTATATCTTTCTCCCAGGATTTTAAAAATCTCTAATCGTAGTTTTCCTGAAAAACGTGTACAATTGTAATTTTTTGTGTATAATATTTTGCGTCGATATTCAAGCGTCTATTACATTTTTTTGTTCAATTAAAATAACTGAATATAATTTAAATCCACAAAGTCTGGGTAATTTACTGATAACAATGGTCTTGCTTGCAGACTTTGAAGATTATAAATCAAATAAAATAGCCGTTTTAAATTAGTTCTTAATTTCCCCGTTTCAAATTAGTTCTTAATTACTTAATTTCAAATTTAACCTGCATTTTTATATGCAAAGTTTTGTCATTATATTAGAAAGAAAAATACAAACTTTCTTCAGATAAATCACTTAATTAGACAGTAGCATAAAAATCATAGAAAAAAATTAGAATTAATGAAATTAAATTATAATGAACAGAATTCTCAATTATAACTTATTTTTAAATTTGTCCTACTTCTCTGAATTGTTAGTAATGTTTTATTGCTCGTAAAAGGTAGAAAACAGAAGCTGCTTTTAAACAAATAAATAAAATAGACAGTCCTGTGAAAATCCCTGAAAAGTGTTTATGGTAGCTTTTCAGAGAAAATATACAGATTTTACAATCCCTCCAAGAAAAAGAGACCCCCTTTCCTTTCCCTACAGATATCATCAGGTGAAAGGTCCTGGGGGGCATTGGGGGTCATCTACTGTCCTTTGTTGCGTCAGTTTTACAGCATCATAAAACATGGCGACAAGAGAGAGGGGGGTGATTTTTAATCAGTGTTATTACCTCACGTGACCAAAACAAGACCGGTGGTCCTTCAGGGCAATGGGTAGGGGGTGGTAATAGGATGATTGTATAACCGCCCTTTGTGAACATAAGAAAAATCTAAGATTCATTTAAAAAATTCTCAAGCATGTTTTGTCAACAAATATTATGTCTTCATTTATTTTTGTGTGTGCTAACAGAAAATTTCTTATGGATATTATTTAAAATATGAATTTTAAGAAAATATGGATACTTTTATAAGAGGTAATTTTTAAATAATTCTTATGATTGTAGCAATTTTAAATTATTTACTTTTGTATTGCGTATCTGAAAATAGTAAACTCACAAAGTTGTGTGTCCTTAAATAAAATGTTTTTCTATATTTCTTTATATAAAATGTCCTGAACCTAACATTAGATTGATCTTTATCTTTCTTAGAATCTAATCTAAACCTAAACGCAGATAATACAGAAAACATTTGAGAGACGTGTATCATAAAATTTATTCCATTCATTTTGTTTTTTTCATTAATTCGTTTATATAGGAGTACAGAGTCTAATTTTATTTTATAATTATTATTATTATGAGTAATTATTAATGGTGCCTTAATTATCTTGCTATTTTAACGATCATGTTACATTAAATAATAATTACGTAAACAAAATGGAAAAATATTTCTTTACATTAGATAAGATTTAATAAAAATTTTTTATCCCAGTTGTAAAATTTAAAATGGGAAATTAAATTTAAACTCATTTTTTAGTTAAAACATATTTTTTAAGATCTTTTAAATTTCGATATTTGTTAAATAGAATTAAAAAATGTTAAAAGCATTTAAATATAAGATTTTCAAAATATATTGTTTTTTGATTATATATTTAATGTAATTATAAAATCAGTATTTATTATTTGTTTTCGCAAATAATTGTTTCCCATCTGAGGAGAAATTTTTATTTAAATTTTTTTTTCATATAATTTATTTAAGAATTTTTTTAAATACAATATATAATTTCTTTATAGTTTGTATTTTAAAAATGTTTAATGCGATTGTATAATTAGGTTAATGGAATTTTAATAACACTATCATTCAATTCATTTCAATTACAATGACGTCATTACGAAATAATTGTAAAATAATATTGTTTTTCTTCCCATCCCTTTGCTTTTAATGGCAAAAAGGTTCAAAGGGTTTTTGTAACTTATACTGTAAGAATATTGTAAAAATTTTGATTTTTTTTTTCCTTCCCTTGTTTTGTTAAAAATTAAAACAGAATAGGAACGCTTATTTCTCAAGGACCTTTCTAATGTCCATTAAAAAGAAGAAAAAAAAATCAAATTATGCATTAACAACTATTTGGTTCAAAATATCAAATAGAATTTAACTATAATGCTTATAAAATGGTATTTTTAACTCGGAATTATGTATATATTTCACACTAGGAAATGTTTGTTTTGCATGCATAAACTTTGTAGCCACGCATTTTGCCGTCAATTTTGCTTTCAAAATACTTTAAAACATATTATATTCATGAAATGTAATCGTAGTCAACATTTAAGCAATAATTTTCCCCAGAAAAATTAAAATGCAGACATTTTCTAAAATAACTATGATAAAATTAAATATATATTATTGGCCGACAATTTGTTTTTGCCTTATTCGATTATTTTTGTTTGAAAATAATAATTAACATTCTTTATTCAAAATAGCTTTAAATATATGGGTATTATTTTTTTAATACTAACATTTATGAAGAGTTTTCAGAAATATTTAAGAAACACTAATGAAAATTTTTTAAGCAAATGTACAATTAATTATAAAAATGTATTTGTTTGTTTATTAATGATGTGTAAAACAAACTCAAATTGTCTTATAAAATAAAAAACGAAATTTTTTCTCAAATTAAATCAAGAAACACATTCGTATATCGTCACACTATTTAGTTGAACCCTCCTACAAAAAATCTAAACTTATCACGTTTTCCAATTTAAGAATTATAGTGAAATATTTACACTAAAAAATTAGTCTAAAGGAAAATATCGAAATCTAAGAATTCCGGAAAAATCGATAGCCTAGACTTTTCCCGACAATCCCTCTGCAAGGAGCCTCCAGGATTAGGTTAGGTTACTTTTCCAATTTATTCTACATTGTTTTAGTTTATCGTTCATTCATCTTATTACGTCAAATGAAAATCTTGTACACAATGCTAAAATTATTCATTTGAATTGCGCTTATGTAAACAAATGTACAATTTGTGTATTTGCAGGCGGACAACAATGAATGCCAATTTGTATCTTTTAATGTTATAAGCAATATTCAGACTAAAACAGTATAATTCCTCCGTCAAAGATTGAGGGCCATATTCTTCATTTAAATTACACTTATGTAAACAAAATATATATTTTATTTTTGAAAGCAAAAATATGAATGCTGATTTTGTAGCTTTAAATGTATTACGTAATATCCAGATCAAAACAGTATGAGCGTCAACTTTTCTTTTTTATTATCAAAGATAGGTGATAAAATTTTTCATTTGTATTGTGCCTGCGTAAACAAACTACACTCCCCCCTCCAATAAAAAAGAAAA